TAATAGATGAGTAATTTACCCAGCTGAAGAATCATTCTACATTGTGAACAAAGAGGAGTAGAGGGAAAAGGGTTTAAGGTTCGTTTCTTTGGGCAGAATAGTCGTTGAAATTTGTAGAACATTATGGAGATTTCTACATCCTTTGATCCTGATTTTACATGTTATTCTGAAAGCAGGCTATTGTGTACACAAGAACCGGGAGGATGCCTTAGATGGGACAGTGTTCTGAGGACAGAAGAGAGATTACCTAAAGAGATTAACATTTATTAATAACAGGGCATAAATGAAGACTCTACAGATTTACTACACAATCCCCACCCTGGACATATACACCTACTGAAGTGAAAGCAGAAATGAAAACAGAAACATGTACTCTGATGTTCACTGCAGCACTAGTTACAGTAGTCCAAAAATGGAAACAATATAAATGTTCATCTTCAGAACAATGGAGGAAGAAAAGGTGTCACTGACTTGTTTATGTTTTATACAAAATGTAGCAAAATATTTATTTTTACTAATATCACTGAAACACAAAGAGAAATGAAGATCTGATACATTCTTCAACACCAACAAATGTGACAGCAAAGTAGTCAGTTACAGAAAGACAAGTATTGTATGATCCCACTGCCATGAACACTTCAGCCAAGTGTTCAGAGGCCAAAGCTTATGCGTGGTTAGCAGGAGTCACTGCTTAAGAGCATTTATGTTTCTTTGATGGTTGTGGAATAATTTGAAAAGGATCATGGTGATGGTTACATAACATGAGTAACCTAATCAATGCCACAGAACTGCTCATGTAAGAACTGTTGAGCTGGCAAAGGCTTTGTTAAATGTGTTTCACACACACACACGAACTTAGATTTAATTAGGAAAATAATCTTAGTTGAATTTTGGTCCATTGTTGAGTACTGTCCAGTTGGAACTGACTCATAGTTGATCTTGCAATGTGTTTTCAGAGGCAGTTAATGACACGAGAGGAGCCAACTCATCTTCCTTCCATTGAGCAGCAGGTAGATTTGAACCATGCACCTTTGTGTTGGCAGCACAATTTCTCACCACTAAGCTACTAGAACTCATTACTTACTGCTAAGATACTTTCCTCTCACCTGTGGTCTACTATCTCTCTGCTTATTTGGTTACTAAATAATTCTGTTCCAAGGAGAAGTCATGCAGGGTAGCCAGAACTTCAGGCTCTGCTCTCGGCTCTAACTTGGGTCTCTCAGAACATTCTTCTGGAAACTTTTTTTTGCCAGGGACCGTTTGAGTAGTTGGAGGAGCACTTTAAATACAGAAGCTTCTCTGAGGCAAAGTTACAGCAATATCTATGTTACAAACAATTTTAGTTTAAAAAGATGGTATCCAAATGATAGGGCTCAATAATTCTTAGTATAATTACAATTTGAACTATGGCATTTTTCCCTTCCTTATCTTAATTGCTTTCTTTTCTCTTTATGGATAGGGAGCTGGAGAGGAATAAGTTAGATTTCAATTCTTTCTCTAATTAGTTTTAGTCTTGTAAAGTTCAGCAACTGGGAAAGAAAAATCCACAAGGGCTGACAGGCTAGCCTCTAGCAGTGCTTGAAAAGGTAAGTAAATTGTGAGTCAGCAAAGGGGAACCAAAAGCAAACTGAATTTATTAAAATGGTCACATTTCTAAGCAGTATTTGGGATGTCACATCAAGTACTAAATTAGTACTAGGCAACTGGAGCTAGTCCATTCTTCCAGCATATTAACAGATAAACAGAACACTTTCTTTTAAAGAAGATATATTTTTTAAGTTTCATTTCCATGAGGAGGAACTGTAAAATTGGAAACTATAAAATAGCACTTTAACAAATTAGTATTAAGGACTAATAACTGCATTGAATACAAAACTTATTTCCCTGACAACCTCTTCAACAAATGGTGCTGGCAAAACTGGACTTCAGAAAGCTGAAACAGGATCCACATCTCACACCATACACTAAAATCAACTCAAGGTGGATAAGAGACCTGGGAATAAAGTCCTAAACCCTAGAGGTGATAAGAGACAAACTGGGATCAAGCTAGTCTACAGTGTAATAAAACTGCCAAATACAGCCAGAAATGCACAATCTGAAAAGGATAAAATTGACGAATGGGACTATCTAAAGATTAAATCCCTGTGCAGATCAAAAACTTTTCCCAACTGGGTGAAAAGAAATCCTACAGACTGGTAACAAACATTTGGCAATACCATCTCAGACAAGTGTCTCATAACAAAAGTTTACAGAATATTCCCGGGTCTCCACAAGAAAAGGACTGATAAACCAGCTGCAAAATGGACAAAAGACAGAATTTTCACAGAGGAAGATATTCAAATGGCCAACAGACACATAAAGAAATGCTCCAAATCACTGGCAATAAGAGAGATACAAATCAAAACCACAATGAGATACTATCTCACTCTAGTAACAGTGGCAAAGTTTAACAGGACATCAAGTAATAAATGTTGGAGAGGATGTGGTGAGATTAGAACTCTTATACATTGTTGGTGGGATTGTAAAATAGTACAGTCATTTTGGAAGGCAGTTTGGCGCTTCCTCAAAAAGCTGAACACAGAAATTCCGTATGACCCAACTATTCCACTGCTTGGAATATACCCTGAGAAAATGAGAACTGAGACACAAACGGGTATTGGTACACCAATGTTCATAGCAGCATCATTCACCATCGCAAGAACACGGAAACAACCCAGATGTCCAACCACAAACGAATGGATAGCGAAATTATAGTACATTTACACAATGGGATACTATAGGTCACACAGGAGCACTATTACCTAGCTTGGGAGGAAGTGGAGAGCATTATGCTGAGTGAACGAACTCATTTCCACAAGGACAAATACTGTATAAAACCATTATTGTAGAATGACTATAAGGACCCAAGGAACGGGGGAGGATGGAAGCAGAGGGATCAGAATGTGTGCACGCGCGCGAGTGTGTGTGTACGTGCAGTGGATTAATCATGGGGTTGTACAATTTGATGGGAGAGCGGGGGAACTTGGAAGAATCTGATCTGAAAAACAATGTATTTGAATTTTGTAAATAAACTAGTATAAGAATTCTAAAAAAAAAACCAACAAAATACTTATTTCCCATTTATTTGCACTTTCTGAAGGAGCTATACAACCAGTGAATTTAAATATGAATTTTCTCCTATGTAAAGGGAATTTCTTATTGTTATCTTTAAAATCTGTGCAATCAATACCAAAGTGAACTTCAAGGTCTTCAAAGACTGTGCAAAAGTAGTAAGAATTGGCTTTTTTTTTTTTAAACAAAACCCAACAACATTGAAAGCTTGGTCCCTATATTCTCTCTGATATTCAGCTGCTCATCTTAGGTCAGTGGTTGTCAAAGTCTAGTGTGCATCAAAAGCAGAACACAAGTGAAGAGGAAAAGCCCGGATCCCTGCAGAGGGTCTCCTTTATCAAGTCTCCGGCCATGGAGTCCACGCCAGGCAGACCCAAAACCAGCTAAGAAGCTTTGAAACAAACCCAAACAAATTCTTGGGCTTTATCTCTGGAAATTTTGATTCTGTAAATTTGTGGTTAAGACCCGGAAATCTTAAAACCTTTTATTAAGAATTTATAATTATTTTCTTTTTTTCACAAACTTCCCTGGCAGTTCTGGTCATCCAGACCTGAGAACTACTGTTCAGGACATTCAGCTAAGGTCTATCCAAGAACCTCAAGCCACTGAGTTTATGAAGAATATTCCTAACACTGGGTAGGTTATAAATCACTACTGCACAGAAAATGCAATAATTAAAATTGTCTGGAAGGGATTTCTTTATGATTTAGCACTTAAATTACTGAATAATTATCTATCCACTCTCTACCCGGAGGCTAGAACTGTATATACTTGCTTCCTATGGCTGTTAAGTGCTAGCCACCTGAGCAAAGGGGAATCCTAAGTCAGGAATCAGTTCTGTTAACCTCTCTCTCTTCCTCTTCCATTCAGCTTCTGAGAGCTGCCAGGAGAGACCTAGTTCAGAATGCTACAGCCAACCGATGTCACTTGCAGAACTGCATCAAGCACATCAACCCAGAAACTTGCAAACCCTGCCCCACACCACTGCCTGGGATTGATTTCTTTGTGTAAAGAAAGTCTCTCATCAGACAAAATCCCCAACTGCCTTCAGGTGCATTCTGTCTCTTAGCAACTCTGCAGGACAGAAGAGAACTGCTAATAGAGTTCTGTAAAGCCTGTAAATCTTGACAGAACCGCACTGCCTTGTCTTGTTCCAGCGGAGTAACTGGTGGCTTCCATCTTGTGTTTAGCCGCTGAATGCTTTGTTCACTGCATCACCAGGACTTCTTCACACTGGACAGATAGTTTTACTAGCTTGACTATTCTTGAATATTCTAAGAACAGCATGACTACTCTTGAAGCCAGCACAAGAGGAAACGATATAGTTTTACAATCTTTAAAAATGCAGTGACTTTTGGGCTACCTCCAGTAACCCCAAGCCCAAAGATGTCTCGCCACCTCCTTCTTGTTCCCAGAGTCTGATGCTTAAATTAAAAATCCAAGAAAGAATAAATCTGAAGTCTGAGACCTAAAATTTAGAAATTACTTTTGCTCTTTTTTTCCTCCTCTCTCAATCTAAAGTCATGATATTTCTATCGCATAGAAAAATCAGGCCAAAAATAGGCGATGGGAATCACGCTTTTTTGAAGCATAGAGACTGACTTCCAAGTCTTCCCACAAAATTCCAGATAACCAGCTAGGGATGAGATGATCCTCCTTAATCAGAAGCACTCTCTAGGCCAGGTGAGCCAGCCAGGACCAACATAATTATCCAGCAAATGCACAGAAGCATCTTTTAATAAAACTGATGATGTACTTCCTTACTGTAGAGCTGGCTGCAAGCTGACTGCTACTTTCAAGGCCTGTTCAAATGTACCTAAAGAACCAGTGGAGTGGGCACCAAAGAGAAGAGTTGGAAAGATGTTGTTAAACTGGCTTGAAAAGCATGATTAGCAGCAGGTCCAGCTGGAGGAAGACTTGGCTTGTAGATTGATATAGTCCCCTTGTGTGGACAATGATACATCTTCTCTGGAATTGCTCATCATCTTTTCAAGTAGGACTCTACAAAACAAAGGAAACGGAAGAACTGAGAACTGGCTGGAGGAGAGGGAGAAACGGCAGGTGTTAACTGTTTAATGAACAGACAGAATTCAGAGACCCCACATGTTCCCTAGTTATCTCAGGAGAGAAGGATGCATCCATGACCTACAGAAGCTGGCATTCCAAGGACTTAATCTATTTTTGTTCAAAGAAGGTCCATGAGACCACAAACCTACATGTCTGTCCCCAAAACAGAATAAGCTACTCACCTCATAGCCTCATTTATGTTTTTGTTCTCCTTGACTGATGTTTCTGTCCAACCCGTGAAACCATTCTCTTTACTGAACCGGTCAATCTGGTCCCGGCTCATTGCCCAAGGGGAAAGATCGCACTAGCCAAGAAAATAAAAGACAACATCATAAACTTCCTGAGAATAGGAACACGTGTGCAAATACTCATGAATCCAAACCATTCAGCCACCAAGGGCTCAGGACGCTAGTGGCTAAAATCTACAGTCAAAGGAAATGTCACTCACTTCACCCCATGAAGTGTAAAGATGCTTCTGCTGACTGGAGAAGGGGGAAATGAGATGTCTAGAACCAGAGGGCCTTTTAGACCACAGTCCCTAAACCACAGATATTCTCTGACCACAGACTGAAGCCTGGGGCCATTCTCCTAGACTGACTCTTTACCTTGTTGGCCAAGAGCAGGCAGGGTACAGGGTCTCCACTGGGCAGGGTGAGCTTGCTGTCCAGGTCCTGTTTCCATCTCTGGCTGTTGCTAAATGTGGTGGCATTGGTAACATCAAACATAATAACACAAGCAGAGGCATCTCGGTAGTACAGCCGGGTCATGGAGGTGAAACGCTCCTGTCCTGGAGAGAAAGAACAGGATGCACAAGGAGGTGATTTGTTGAAATAGTCTCAGTTCCTTCTCTGATCTTCTTCCCTCTCCTTGTGGCTTGCTGTTGTTGTTATGTGCCATTGAGTCGCCTGAGACTCACAGCAACCCTGTGTACAAGAGCCCTAAACCCTGCTCTGTCCTGTGCCAATCGCACTGTCTCCAACACACTTACCCTCATTACTCCAGTAACTGACTCAATCCACCTCATAGAGTGTCTTCCTCTCCTGTGCTGTCCTTCCACCCTCTCAATCATCACATTCCCCTCCAAGGACTGGTCCCTCCTTGCAACATGTCCAAAGTATGTCAAACAAAGCTTCATAATCCTTGCCTCCAAAGAGCAGCCTGGTTTCAACCTCTCCAGGATGAACTTATTTGTTCTCTTAGCAGTCCATGGTACACTCAATCCTCTTCTCCAACACCAAGACATCAATTCTCCTTCTATCATCCACAGTCATAGTCCAGCTCTCTGATGCATAGCACATGAGTGCAATGACCATGGCCTGGCATATAATTATGACCTTTATCTCTTATTTTCTGGGGTCCTGTTCCCTACCAAAGGTCAGCTAAAAACTTAAAATATCCAGAAAAATACACTCTCCCTTTCCTGTAGCAGCATCTTCCAGTTTGGTCAACTCACCACCTTGCCATTCCCATCAACACACCACTTCACCCCCAGCAGCAAACTGTTCTACGTCCACTTAGGGCAAAACTTCCCATTTACACATCCTCATAGCAACTCATGACAAAGCTTCGTCTCACATACTTTGAGCATATTGTTAGGAGAGGCTATTCTCTGGAAAGGGACATCATGCTTTGAAAGGTCGATTGTCAGCGAAAGAGAGGAAGATCCTTGATGAGGTGGACTGATACAGTGACTGCCGCATCAACTCAAGTGTGTCAGAGATGAGGAGGATGGCACAGGACAGGACAGGGTTCAGATCTGTTGTTTAGAGGGTGGCTGTGAGTCATACTCAACAAGACAGCACCTAATGACAATAACAACAACACAGCAAATCAACCATTCCCAAACCACAGCAGCCATGAAGTGAGATTAAGACTCACAGCTGACCTACAGGCCAGGTCAGAACTGCCCCCTAGGACTTCCAAGCTGCTAAATCTTTAAAGAGATGACTGCTATAGAGTGGCTGGTAGACTTGAACTGCTGATCTTTCAGTTAGCAGCCCAGGATTTAATTCACAACACTGTCACAGAATTTCTCAACCATGGCAGCTCTGGAAAAAAGCTAGGGCTTCCTTTGTAGGTCCATTTTTTTCCTCTGAGAGCTTGCTGAAAAATGGAACTTTCTCTCCTCTTCTATCCAGCCTGCCCTGCTCACCTGCAATATCCCATAGCTGGAGTCGCACCATCTCTGAGTCAGACCACTGGAGAACCTTCAGAGCAAAATCCACTGAAAGTACACAATGCATATTGATAGCATAGGTTATTACAATTGAATCTCCTAAAAAAACTCCAACATGGAAAACCCAGACCAAATGGGCGGTGTCAAAGGTGTTGACACATCACTTCCAGTCCCATTTCATTATTTGTCTTTAATTTTAATAGCATTTTATTGTGGAGTTTTTTGGTGAAAAGTTTACGTAGAAGTTTAAGTTCCTGTTAAAAAGTTTCTACACACACATTGTTCAGTATCATTGGTTACATTCGTCTTAACATGTGAACATTTTCATTATTTTGGTCCTGCTTATTCCATTTCCACTAATTTCATTTCCCTGCTCCCTTACAGTAATCTTTATTTTAAAGTAGGTTTTGATCTTATCTCATATATGTGATTTTTTTTTAAAAAAAGAAAAAACAACAGGACAGTAAGTATGGGCAATAGTATTTCTGCAATAGTATTTCTTTTCTTTCTTTTTTTAAAATTTTATTTTCTACTGGGATTGGCATACACTTCCTAAAAAACATGCCTCCGGAAACTCTATGAACTTCGCAAAGTGTTGATAGTTGTAGAGGGGCTTCAGGCCTTTTGTTCATAGGGTCACTGTAAGTTGTACTCAACTCGAAGGCACTCAACAAAAACAACAACAACTGGTTTGCTGACAAAGTTCATATACATTGTGTTGCATACTATCCTTCATTCATACTGTATTTCTTACAATCATTCCCATTCATTATGTTTTATAAAATCAATCACCATTGAACTATGCCCAATATTACCCTGCCTTTCTTGAGCTGATTTGTTATTTCGTTACAAGGTGACTCCAAGTGTTAGTCTCCCTTCAAAGTTTGAGGGGTATCTCAGGGGAATGGTCTCAGGGATTCTTTCTTTCTTTTCAAGCCCTTAATAGGCTGAGCTGAGCCCACCCTCAAGCATTAGTACGGGACAGGTAATTCATTCTTCCTGTTGAAAGCATCGTCAGCTTTTATTCTGCTGCCCAACCCGATCTACTTGACATTTGTCTCAAAGGTTGAGAACAGGAGTGTGAGAGTCATGAAAACCACTTCTTATCTCAGGTTTAAGCAGTTTCTGGAGATTTAGGGGGTTTTTCTCAGGGAAGGTATGATGGAGTGGAAGGGGGAAATGAGGTAAGTGTGGTTGATTTTGTATCTTTCCACGTTCAATTTTACTGTTGGTTTCTAATTCAAATGTATTATGAGAAAAACACACCCGAGGGGATTCAACATCCTCTGCTAAGAGAGAGGAATTAGCCCAGGCTGGAATGGGATTAAAGTGAGAAAGTCCCTGAGGACTCCCAGGAAATTAGCAATACAAGATGGTGCTAAGAGCTGTGCAGGCATCTACTGCCACACCTGCACAGGACTGCATGCAGTGTGTCTGAGATGCCTACCTTGAGTTGAACTTCAAACAGAAAAGCTTTCTGACAGGGATTATTTGTGAGGTCTGGAAATACCTCTGACTCTTCTATATTTGTGACAGAAATAAGAGCTAGGGGAAATTTATAATAAAAAATTAGAAACAATACTCATTGCCTTCAAGTTGGAATGAAACCTCCATTGTTTTGCCAAAGCTGTAAATTGAACGAGAAGAGACTGTCTGTCTTTCTACCAAGGAGTAGCTGGTAGCTTCAACCTGCCAGAGCCATTATGGGCTTTGGGTAAGAAAATTTAGTGGGAGCCAGTCACAGTCAAACTTCTGAGAGTTGGCACTCTACAGGTCTGCTGTGTTATTCCTGGTCTTGAAAGTTTTCTGCCTTTAACAAGGTGCGGCCTCACCACTTTCCTGTCCCTCCTTTTAGTGGAAAGTATTTGATTTTTCCTTCTCTGACAGGTTACTGCCTTACAGTCTCTGGCTTTCACAGGTTTTCCTGTATAGTCTTCAACTAAAAACTAGAGCAACTGCTAAACATGAAATAACAAGGCATCTTTAATTCAGTTTCAGGAGATATCAGTACCATTAGCTGCTAAGTCGATTCTGATTCATGGTAAATGTGCAAAGAGTAGAAACATGTGCCATAAGGTTATCAAGTCTGTGACCCTTCTGAGGAAGATTATCACTCCCAGCTTCTGATGAACCCCTGGGGAGGTTTGAACTACCTTCCTGGCAGCTAATATTCAAGCACTTAACCACCATCACCACCCAGGGCCTCGATTCAGCAATGAAATAGGGACACTCTGATTATTCAAGTGGGGGAGAAGCCAGGTGGACAAGAAATAGTCTTTGAAATGTTAAACATTTCACTTTCCTGGTGTTCTTACAGGGGAAGGAGAATGTTTAAGTTTCAATGTAAATGCTTTGTAATTGTTTAAATTCTCAATGAACACTAGTTTCCCTCTTCAAAATTCTGCTTAATATGAGTTTTTGTGAGAGGCTCTGGGGGGTGAAGTGGTGAAATAGTCAGCAGTTTGAACTCACCAGCTGCTTCTGGGAAGAAGAGACCCAGTGTTCTGCTTCCATAGTGATGTCAGCACTGGAAATTATGGGGTAGGTCTACTGTGTCCTACAGTGCTCCTCTGGTACCTGGCTGATCTTGCCTAGTAGCATATGCTTGTCTCAAAGATTAAGCCATACATGTCTAAGTACACACGGCTGCTACAGTGAAACTCTGAGGGTCTCAAATGGAGCTATGGTGGCCTAGTGTTAAGGTGCTGTGCTGTCCACCCAAAGGCACCGGTTCAGATCCAGCAGCTGCTCTGTGGGAGAAAGAGGGGGCATCTTCCCCTCGTGATTTATTGCCTTTGAAAACCCGCTGGAAGGTCAGCTATGGGTGGGCTCCAACTTGATGGTACTTAACAACCACATCTAAGATCCCTATGAGTCAGAATCAATTACATGGAAATGGGTTACAAGTTTTTCCTTTAAAAAACCCCCATGTTCTTTTAACAGATAAATAAATGTTAAAATTATTTTTCTTTTTTATTAGTTCTTCCCAGTTAAATTCTTTCTAATTAATAAAAAGGCATCTCTACCTCTGAGGGGGAAAAGTCCCAAAGCCAAAACAGTCCCCTTTGAGTTCAAAGATCATATCTGGGAAATGAATGAATTCCATCTTAGGGTCCTCTGTCAGGGAAAGAAAGGCTGGGCTGTAGATCTGAGAAGTAGCATACTTCATATTCCCCCCCGCCAGGAATTCCTAGATTATTTTTGCACAAGCAGTGGACAAAACCCACACAACTGACCAAGCATCTGACTTGGTGGCCAAGGCTCAACTGCTTCCCCTGCCTGGTCCAGGTATTCCCATAACAGAGCTAGAGACTCTCCAGTCAGTTTAGTGTCCTAGATCTTCCTCTTGGCCAGGTTAAACACCCTTCTGTTTCTTTCTCATCAGGGAACAGTCCCAGCTGGTACCTAACCAGGTCAGAGGGTCTTGGTTCCTCTGTCACTGGCTAAGATTTATTTGCCTGTGCCCGCTTCCAAGCTGCAGGAGGAGACCTGAGTTCTATCTCATTTCTTATCTTCTTATTTTCACCTTATCTCTCCTCAGGCAGCCTGCTAGGACTGGAAAAAATTAAAGTGGGAAAGCCAAGAAAAGCCTGCAAATCAAACACCCTGCCATTACTCCTCAACCCCCACTCCAGGATCCCAAACATGTACTTGCTGACCTGAGGAAGGACCCAAGGACATGGAAACCCCTCCCGTGGGCCACTCTTGGGCCCGTGAAAGCGTCCTCCTTGTCCCCAGCAAGGTCTCACCTCCCACCGTAGACTTGTAGTGTTTGCTGAAGCTGTCCTGAGAGTATCTCTGCACCAGCGATGTCTTGCCCACCGCGGCGTCCCCCACCACCAGCACTTTGAAGAGGTGGTCTCGGCTGCCCATGGCTGGCTGGCGGGCTGTGCGCTGTGGGACGGGGTCGGGAAGTGGACAAGTCTTGTTCCAACCTCTCTGGCCGCAGACCTTCTACCAACTCAGGTTAGGCATTCCCGCCCACCGCCTGTTAAGTCGGCTGAAAAGCAAAAAAGGAAACTTTGCACTCAGCCTAGACGCGCTTCCTCCCTGCGCGGCCGCAGGGTGGGGCGCCCGGTTCTACCCCCAGCACCCCGCTGCTCGCACCTTCTGCGCCTCCTCGGCTTGGCAGCCGGGAAACAAGAAGCAGCACCCTGTGCCTTAACCTCTGGAACTCCGGCCAGCTAATTTCACTCTCAGGCCAGAAAATAGGGGTTCCCACTCCTACGGCACAAATTCGGAGGAAAAAACAGTCAAATCTCACTCTTAGAGACAGGCTGGTGTAGGGTGGCGTTGACCCCCCAAAAAAGCCTCCCTCCCAAAGCGTCACGTGCGGAGTTATTTGGCGCACTACATCTCCCATCGTTCTTCACGGTAAAGAGACCTTGCTGTATGCGGAGGTTCGCCCACGAGACCTCATGGGAAATGTAGTTTATTCACTACTTTAAAACTTTTTTTTTTTTTTAAAGTTTCCAGATTTCCCCGACCACAGTATTTCCCTATTAGCTCGGGATTTTCTTCTAAGATAATTCTAGGTGGGAAAATATGTTTCAAGGCTATTTGTTCAACATGATCTCATCGGCCTAAGTTGGCCTTCAAAAAGATCCTTTATATATAGCCAAGATTAAAAATTATGCCAAGAATTCTACAAATTATTCCACTAATAAAAACTCAAGTAGCATCGCACATGCTCGATGTCAAGTGCATTTCTTGTTGGGTAAAGTAAATAGGCTTAGGTTCCAATTCAGTGGCAAACAACAACAGGTATTTCTTAACATGATAAAAACTCAATCTGTTCTTTCCCATGACCCAATCAATGTCTAGTAAGTACAGAACAACTCAACGCAAAAGACCTACCCTTAGAAAAGCATTTATTAAGCAGCCACAGCAATAAAGATAGGCAGAAAACAACAGACACTTCCTAATTCTTACTTCCACAAGTCTTATCCTAGGCACAAGACTCTACATCATTTGAGCTGGGAGCTAATTGGATACCACTATGGCTTGCTTAGTTTCTTGCTGCTGTTGGTAACAAGTGCCATTAAACAGCTTTAAAATAATTTTATATTTTCAGGTTGTAACCTTTCTAACCTGTCTGTCCTTTGTTGTTGTTGATACCATCTAGTTGATGATTTTCACAATCGCCTGCTATGCATCAAGGAGGTGGACAATGACTAAGGAGAAAAGTAGAAGAATCGATGCTTTTGAGTTGTGGTGCTGGTGAAGAGTCTTGACATACTATGGACTGCCAACAGAACAAATAGGCCTGTCCTAGAGGCAAGGTGGACGATTTATCAACAATCTGCGTTATGCAGATGACACAACCCTGCTTGCTGAAACTGAAGAG